ATAAAAGACATAGAAATAAATAGTTTCGTATTTGCATAATCTAATAGTTCTCTACAATTTTCAAAAGAAACATTACGCATAATGAAGATCTTTTCATGTTCTTGGAACTTCAAATCACATGCCCCGAAGGTACTGCGGCGGCTGTGGCGCGGATCATCTGACCCGCACTTTTGGGGGTCGCCCTGGCTAATTCGGATCTTTGAGAGAGATATTCTCGCCACCTTAAAATATTTCATCCTGAAATAGTTCAACAATCTAAATTCTTTTCAGAGTACTAAATTATTAGATTACACTGTCACGGAGTGCTTTTAACGTATTGCAGTAGTATAACTTTATGAACAAATGCAGGGGAAAATGGGGTAAGGCATCTCGCCAGAGGAGTGCCTATAGTGATTTGGGTATTAGAATAAGTTTATTATAATTATTCTTATGTTCTCCTTCCCCACACATAAGAGTAGTAACCAACCGTTCTCGATGTTACACCCTTTAAATACCTTCTTGGGAATATGATTAAAAGAGACCTGGATCATATTTTCATAACTTTTTATTTAGAGTATTTTAGCTTCGTGTCTGTTTACTCCACTCAGCCAATATTGTCAATTAGGCTGATAAGCCTCATGTTACAATCGAAGATTCAAAGCTGTTGTATTGTGTCAGTGTATCCACGGCGCAGTTACATCTTTAATTTCCGGAAATTTTACTTTTAGCAAAAACTAGGTTTGACTATCAAACTGAAAACTAAATCAAGGTTATTAATAGTTCATTATTTTGAAACATGTAAAAAAATATTTTTACATGTTTTAATAACTGAGTAGGTTTTTAAAAATTTTATAAAACTTTATAAAATTGTTATACATAAACTTTAAAATTTTAAAAAAAGCTAGCTGGCCAAGTATGTTCAAAAGTTTTATATGATGAAAGCAAGAATATTAAATTTGTACGGCTTTATATGAAGTTATGCGATGCATTTAATGAAATAGTATCATGCAAATACAGTATTTTTTATCAAATTAAAATTTAAAGTTTTATAGAAATGGGAATATGAAGTTTATATTTTCAAATATTTAATATATCTACAGATTACATACATGTTAAATATTCATTTTAATTATTTTGTTGTCGTTATTGTATAATTTGAATCTTATAATTCAGTAATTTGATTGGTTAATACGTATCGGTATATTATTTATTTTTATTTATTATAAATTGGTTTAACTTGGTTTGAATTTATAAACCAAAACTTACATAAACTGGTTTAAAAACCAGTTCGAACTAGGGATGCTAAACCGTTTAACTCTGAAAATCAAATATATATATCAAACTACTACAACTATTTTGTTTAAATATTAAAATCTAACTGGTTTAACATCCCTAGTTCGAACCATAGTTCTTGCCAAACCATAACATCCCTACTTTTAACAAGAAAATAATTTAGACACCACATGCATACAATAAACGCAGGATATTTTTGGCTTCTAAGTATGCCAGTTTTAAGTTCTTTTTCGAGATTCTTTTGTGTAGTAAAATTTAGTACTCTCCTGCAGCTGTAAATAATGCTTACGATGTTTTTATTAAAGTTCTAAAAAAGTACTTTAAAAACATAAGTTATCCGGCAATTACATTAGCAAATCAGACGATTTTCTTCCTATGAAATCGTGTTATTGTTAAATACACGTCAAGTAGTTTTTTTTTTACGCGCAATCCTACATTTCTCACATTTGCGTTACAAAATATTTCAGAAAATTCCTCATCAGGTGAGCCTTCTGAGCTTTAAGAATAAAATTTAGATTTTGACTACATGATGAAAGATGCGTTTTTGAAGAGCAAAGAGAAGCTTAGAGTACCTATTTAGCCTGCAAGAACTGGATTCTATATCCATAGACGCATGGAGGTGCTCTTTCTTGTCTTTGCAATGGTTATTGAAATTACTGCCTTCGTATTGGCCGTACCGAGACAGCAATTTTACAAATATTACTCTGATTAACGTTCGAACGTGAAGATATGATTAGTATATTCTCTATGATCTAACATAAAAAAACTTGAATGCATCCAGTTTAGCATCGCCTTCGAAGGCGTTCATACCCTTCGCAATATTAAATCATCGGTATGTATTTTTTTGCCCTGGACGGGTTAAACTTTTATCATATGCTAATTTTTATTGTAAAACATTAGATAAATCCCCTCAGTGACGATGAGATTCAATACAACTTACGGAAATTAAAAACGGACCTTTTTGTAAGTTGGACATTTTTCATCTCATACAGTGGTATAAAATCTAAAGTTTATTTATATCTTATTAGAATAGTAAAAGTTCGCACGCAACTTATTTACTATCAAATTTGGAAGGAGTTAAAATTTCTGACCTTTCGTGGGACGACCCACTTGCTAATCGAGTAGTCGATGCGAACTCCAAATATGTCAAAGAAATGCCGGATTATGCGTTGAAATCTTTTATGGTATGAATATGATTTATCATGATTTTTTCTTATACTACTACCATCTATTTAAACTTAAATGCTTGATAGGAACCGGAAGACAATATGCGAGTTTCAGCCCCAGGTTTCATCCGAGAAAAATGTGATGAGTTTGTATTAAAATTTGCGGATGATTCTGAAGAAATTTTGCCGGCAAAACTCACACATAACGAATCCTGGAAGGAGTCGGATGAGGTCCTTAATAGGGTTACAAAGGGAATTCTCGATCTATTGTGAGTTTTGAAGACTTTATAAACCTCATCTATAGTTATAAAAATGTTATGCCTTATTTATCTAATGTCCCTTCGATTTCAGGAACGAAGTTTGGAAGAACCCAGCTTTTGGACCCGAACTGGCCGGTACACAAAATGAAGGGACTTACGTAACAGATATAATAGTTCCTTCTATTCGAGCTACATTGAGGGGGCTTCCAATCGGAAAGACTGGCTTTATTAGCACGTAAGTTATAAGAATAAACAAACTTGCTTGAGAATATATTCACATATTTTTTTTATTTCAGCGCAGAACGGCAAAGCGTTGCCAGTGCGGATAGAAAAGGAAAGTCAGGGACGGGAAAACGGCCGGATATCATGTTTATTGTTAATCATAAGGAAAGGATACATGAATTGGCATTTGCCGAATGTTCACGTCTGGTTTGCACCGAAGACAAAGAAAAAACAGATCAAGTAAAATTGTGGCGAGAAATGAATGATGGGCTATTCTGGTCTCGCAAAGCGTGCAAACCAGACAAAGGTGAATTTGGCATTATCGGTATTCAAATAGCTGGTAGCCAGATCCATCTGAATATTATAATTAGAGACGATGATGATGTGCACCGTCTCTATCGGTTACGCTCAGCTGAAATACCGGTTCAAAAAGTTGACGGTGAAATTGTTTTTAATTTTGTAGAATTGTTGTTGAATTTAAGAGTATGAATTTATTCAATATTTGCATTCTATTTTTTATTCTGAGCTCTGATACTTACTTTTTGTAATTGAATAATAAAACATTCTGATTGTCAACTTATCCTTACTATTCCATGCGCAAGAGACTGAATCGCATGAGGATAGTGAAAGTAGTTCTACATTGCGTTCTCCACGTAGAGAAAAACAAGAACGAACAAAAACTAGAAAGGTAAGTGAAAGAAGTCCTTCACAGGAAGGAGGGAGATTAAATAAAAAAAAAAGCGGAGATTTGAAGAACGGTTGATTTTATTTCTGTGTTATTTTATCTTTATATGATAAAGTTGACTATAGTGGTAAATTTTACAATAATCAGTTTACTTTTGCGTGTATATTTCGTGAATTTATTTTATTGTACTGTATTATTATCGATGTACATTACCCGCATATGATCGAGAATTTTTAAAATTTTTCTTGGGCAAAAGTGATCGGCGTGGCAATTTGTCACGCGCACATAATTTTTTATTTGAATAAAAAACATTAACTATCGAGAAAAAATATTTTTCAAAACGTGTATAGTAAAATTCTTTTTCCAAACGTTATATAAATTAATATCAAACATGCAAACTCAAAGAGACGAATCTAAAGATTTATCCGAAGTTGGCTCATTAAAACTGGAAAATACTAGGCTTATGACTAGGATCGCAGAATTAGAACAAATAGTAAAAGAAAAAAATGTGCTTGAGACTGAGCTAAAACAGATTATAGAAGAAAATGCTGAGAAAGCAAAGTTAAGAGATGCTGAGCTCAACGCAAGAATCATGGAACTAGAACGATCAGCAAAAGAAAATGAAGAGCGATTTGTAAAATTGGAGCAGAAGCAAAACAATACTGTAGATAGATTAGAAAATGGCGATAATTCGTATGAAAATGATAATATACCCGACCTTGTTATAAAATCGTTGGAGGATGATACTCCTTCATCTAATATAACTGATGACGCTTTAAGTTCTGATGTATATCAGGAGTCGAAGATTCAATGCTCCATATCATCCATTCATACAGAGTCTAAATCACCAGAAGATAAAGAGATCAAATTCCTGGATCGGGTACATAAAGAACAGATTAGTAATGAAATAAGAGAAAGGAATCGAGAAAAGAAGCTTAGATCTCAAGATTTATCTTCATCAGAACAGTCTAATTCGTTATATAATATTAACACTGTCATGGAAATGAATCCAAAGGATTCAACTGAGGTAAGTAAGGAAGAAACAAAGTCTCAGGACTGTGACTCATCAAATCTGAACATTCCAGAAATAAGCTCCGAGCCCAAATCACCTACTAATCAGAAAATTCCTTATAATCAAAAAGTAGAACGGGGTTTAAGACTCGAGCTATTTACTTGCACCAAAGATAATAACCATAAAGTTAATAAAGTATTCGATATTCAGATTCCTGAATTTTCTTTAGAAGCGATTTTAACAGGATCTGGTAAGGTTACATCGCAAAATATAGTTGATCTATTTAGGGTAGCAATGAAGGTTCGACAAAAGGAAAGTTTGTGCTGGTATTGTTATTATAAAGCATATGAAAATCGAGTTAGTGATGTTAAGTCTGGGAATATTGATGACCAATCAGCAAGAACGATAGTATATAATGAAATCAAATCGCTCCTTCCTGATGTTACTGATGTAAACTTGCGTAAAATAACTTCTAGAGCGAAAAAAGTATATATATTCTATGAAGGAGTAGGAATTGATAAAATTAGTCAAATAACTTACAGCGCAAGTGCTATTTCAAGTCTAAAGGATATTCAAATTCAAAACCTTATAAATGATTTTTCCCAAGTCTTCAACAGATATGATAAGCGTGACAAATTGTCACGCGCACGTGACTGAACTATCTAGCTCAAAAGACGTATCAAATATTAAGGCAAGTACACTGGCGATCATAAGTAGTGCAACAAAAAAAAAATTTTACTTAGATCGCATTATTTCCCGCAATTCTGCGTGTA